CGAGGTCTTTGAGAAAACACTCCCATTTGAAGCCCAGCTTTTTCTTATTAAAAACGAAGCTGCAGAAGAAAACTTTCGAAATGACAGCATAACCATAGTTATGTCATCCCTACCAGAGACAATTAGATCAAGACGTTGATAAAGATAAGTTTAAGGAAAGCACTTATAAAATACAACTAGAATCACAGATGCCGCTGAATGTTGGTTCACTTAAATTGAAATCAAACGAGAGTCCAAGTAAATAAATTCATCTCAATACCTTCCCGTCCGTTTGGAATCGTTTCATATTATTACAGAGTCGGCAACGGACAAAAGTGGGAGACGTTAAGCTAATTCTCAAGTGGAAGTGGGAATGAGGTGAATAACTGAGTGACTGCTCAAACTTTAGTTGCGGTGGTGACTAGGGCGTGGGCGGACTTTCACACGCTGTCGAGTCTACCGTTAATAAATCGTCGCATAGGGTTCTCACGGTGGTTGACTTCTACTAGTACAAATTTTCCCCCCCTATTACTAGTCATGATTCATAATGGTCACTCAAACTGAGTCAATGATTACATCACGATCTGCCTTTAAGTGATCACACTTGTATCGATTAAGGACTAGTGTTTTAGCGTTCCTTCTAATGTCAATGAACGAAACTGGTTTGGAAAAAGTAATCGGTTAGGATTTCACAAAAGTCGAATGGGATAAAAGGGACATGTGGAACGCCGTCACATCTGTAAGGATCTGTCAATCATCACATAGAATTGTATGCTTGTAGGGCTGCCAACAATTGTTATCTCACTACAAAACACAAATGGCCTTTCTAGTTGCTTTACTACAAAAACATTAGCGTACCGAGTAAGTTTCGAGAGCCGCCTGTTTACTCTGGGCAGACATCCAAGAAAGTTAAGAAGACCGTCTATTAGATGGATCAGCTCGTGTGTATGCAAGGTTGTTCATCCTTACAAGTCACAAAAATAAACTGAGACGTGTGCTCACAATCGACAAGGCTGCAGATATAGGGAAGGCTGAACAGACGCACGCGATTCACCCAAAGGTTGAATCACCAAGGCGCCAGGCATGAGTTGACGGATGACTGATACCATTCAGATGGATTGAATTGACATATTAACACCGTTCTAAGTGTTTTCCCTCCTAGAATAGTATCATTTTAATTTGAAAATTTTAGTTCCGAAGCAGCGTATTTTAGGCCAACACGAAAGTACTGAGACTTATTGAGCCACTGGGATTCGAAAGACCGGTTTAGTACTTACACCTGATAATCTAAATCTATGAAATATCTTGGAAAATTGTGAAAAATTGTTGGTCCGTGCAAAGTTTACAATGATTACTTGCAAACTATGGATGCGTAGTATTTATAACTGCGGTAAATATTAATGGCTTCAAAACGCAGTTAATGCCATGATCCGTGAACCCACCAAGCCAAGTCGAAATGGAAGTTGTGGGTCAAAATCTTTCAACCCAAGCTTCATATTAACGACTTCACAGCGAAATTCGACAATGCCGCGTAATTATGACGCTGTACTTTCAAAATACTCCCGTTTTCGCATCACCTCTTTTGGCAAAGCCACATTTTTGCACACAATCGAGTAAATACGTTGACTGCAAAAAGTACCGATGCCCCTGATGATGTGTGACCTACACTTCTATTTCGGGTTTTAGTGTGACAGAAGCTTCACTTCTCCTGTGGTGCTTACCCCTTGTCAATTTCACTGCCACAACATTGTATAAGTGCTTTGCCTCAAATTAACAAGTAATTAAGCGCACTTTAACTGGGGTACACACGAGAGCTGCCGGCGTGAACTCTTGATGGCCTTATGCAACAAAATGAGGGATAAATATGGAGACTTATGACCCTTATCCCCTCCGCAAAACATGCGTGGACTTAGGATATAAAACCCAAGTAAATTTGAGTTAATATCTCAAATGCGTAGATTTTTCTGAAGTCAAAATTTTACTAAATTGTTCCTAGTGGATTATAAGCAATATGTAAAAGGCAAAAACACATATTTATGTTAGTTCCACAGAGGTAGATAAAACACATGCACTCCCAAACTTTTTTTTCTGAGTAAAAAGAAGCTAAACGGCGTAACCTGCATCAACTTAGCGTCGACGCATTTAGAGAATCGAGCTATGAATTGAAATAGGGGTATATAAAACACCCAAGTGTTGGATTGCAACAAGTTCCTAGGAATCGGAACGCATGTCTGGTCAACAACTCGATTAATCTATTTTAATGTCATTGCAACCTCAGTTCCGATTCCAAATTGCCACGGTTTGAGTCGCTTTGGTTGAAAATAATAATTCTGTTGATTTTAATCATTCAGAGATCTCTTTGTTAAGGAATGCATGCAAGAAATGAATTTTCGTCTGTACAGAGGAGGCTGACTGAAACCGTTTTGAGCGATGGATGATGTCCAGGTCCCGGGTAGAATGGGCCCCATTTAGCTGGCCAAGTTTCTGTTGACGAATTCTCACGGACGCAAGCGAGGTACCTTGTGCTGACTTGCATTCAACTCAGCAACTAGCTGTAGTTAAAGTTGCCTTTTTAGGTTACTGTTACTGAGCTTGCTTAAATTTACAGACGAGGTGATCAATCTCTTAATTTGTTCCACATTGTTCAGGTAAATTAAGCATCTAACATTGCACTGCACACATCAATTCAAAATTCCTAAATCCAGCTTATTATTTAGGTTCTTATGTGGTAAGGTCAGCATTCGAAATTTAATTGCAATTCTAAACTACTACTAAAATACCTCCATTACGTGGTCATTCAAGCCCTCTCAGTTAAGTTCTGTTGTAGGTTGTTTCTTTCCTAGACCTAACCAAAAACTGCACACAACACAAAGTTACAGTGTGCATGAACGGGAATATTACGAACTTTAAAGTAAGACCACGTAGCACGTAGGCTAATGCAGTTAGCTTCAAACTGGACAGTGTTAAGGGTGTGATGTAGAAAAGAGTGGAAATGCTCAAAGAGAACATCATCACTTTTAGAAGAGTGTTGGAGTTGTGGAGAATTATGATTTAATCATCCTGAAGTGCTAAATCCTTGATGAATCAACTATTTGCCAAAACTTCCACCGACAGAACAAGGATATTAAATATTGTATCATGTTTTCTTAAATACTACTTTCCTCTGTTATCCAAACAACTTCGGTTCTTTGTCTATGACTACTTTACATATCAAAAACCAAAGTTTACAATATCGTATTTTGAAGCTTGGGTACACTCGGTAATCAAAAAGGAGTTCTAATGGAAACTTTTATATGACTTGATAACTTCACCCACAAATACTAAACCTGTTCCCATTTATTTGCGCCGGCGATTCCGTACGAAAAAGACAGTGACACCTTGTCAATTTTCCAGGGTAATAATGTCATCAGAGATCAAAGTAATGATGCCTTACTTAAGCAAATAAATTTGACTGACCTGCATCTGCGTGAAGTCTTGTTTTTCGTACTACTTCCGAGCACATGCCACTTGACTCCAGTTATTGGATTAAATCTTAAAACTAGATGTTGTTTCATGGCATGAACATAATTCTGGGTCATTTGTTGTAACAATACACACTTGCGAACGTAATAATGGCTAAAACTTGGGTTATTGTCAAAACCACTTTGTTCCCACTCAACCTATTTAGGATTGCTAATTGATAAATTCGTTACTCAGGGATGCGTTTAGAATACTCATGGATGCTATCAGTACACCAAACGGTCTGAGGATGTAAGCTTTTTTTGCACGCGTTTTTTTGCAAAACAGCATGGTTTTCAGACCACCACATGAGTTTTCAATCCATGTGATCAAACTAAGCTGCAAAAGATATATACCAAGCAATTTTAGAATTTTTCCCTACGTTTTCGGCAAATATGTAGGGCAAATCAAAACGGCGTGTAGAGGTGGATGACCAAGTACTTATTGGCAACAAATTCCGTATTAACGTCTGAAATATTCCAAACAATATATATAACTGAAATTAAACTAACGATTTCCAGAGATGTTATGAAAATTGAACTATTAAGTGTTGCAAAATAGGGACAGAATAGTTTTAGATTAAATTCTTCTTTTATAAATTCAGCTTTACAATTTAACAAAATAGGCTTACATGTCAATGTATTTTCCTTGCATTTGAAAGACAAGACCAAATTAATTAATTTAGCTTCATTATCCGATTACTACACGACACATATACGAACAAAACAATATCATTAACGTTAAGAGTTTCAGTAAAATGCAGTATTTTCTGTATGGCATATGGCTTCAGAGAAGTAATTGCGGATTTGTTAATGTGGTAGCGAAAAATCTAAGCATTGTGTCAAAGTTTCAACCCAAAGTTCTCAATAAATAGTGATTTCAAGGCAACTATTCGGTAAGAGAATTCTATTGACTAACTTACGGGAATTAGAATCCAAATGCTCCGTAAGTCCGATAATTCTCAGGTCATGATATAGTTTAGCAAATTTTTGAGGTGCAAGTGAACACCAACACATTACCAACACAAATTATAAAGTTAAGTCATGTCCTACTTATTTGTATAAAGTAGATTTAACGTTCTTAAAGGATACATACCAGGGTACCGTACACCAATCTTTTGGAAATTTGTTCACTTAAATAAAACAGATAAAAATTGCTACGTATGCTTCTATAAAAAGAGTAGTTGCAAGTAACACCACCTAAGCATATTAAGAAATATCCACGTATTTTGATACATAAACTAAACTCAAACGATGCCTTCGGTTGACATAAAAATGGATCATTTTCTACATCTATGAGCACAATGCAATTGACGCAATTTTTTTGTTCGGGTCCGGTAGTACCCTTATTCTACTCATTGCCATTGGGGGTTTAGCAAATGTTAAACATACACTATTCACCTACTGCTGCACAAGCTTACTGAAATATAAAAGAATCACATCCACTGCCAAAAACATTTGATCTAGTTAAGACGCATGCAAATGCATAAATAGTTCAATGTGGAACAAATCTTAAAAATTATTTCACGCTGAAGAAATATGCTCCAGTTTTGATTGGAGTTCGTTAATGCGCATGTCCTTAAGTTGAAGCAAATGTCGCATTCGTCGAAGCTTGGCGTTAAGAATGTCAACTGTCTCTTCAAGTGCAAAACACTCCTGTATTTTTTTGTCGTAGGCTCGACGCAAATCCTGTTCTGCGAAAACAAACGTCGAATTTCCCATATTTGACGGTTTCCAAGATAACCCACACACAGGCGTCACTAAGTTACCATTTGTGATTGGGATTGTGTGAGAAAAAAATGTTTTGTCAGCCATAACTGGAAGTTCTTTTCCTTGAGATGAGGTTTTAGGTTCCGTCGAGATATTTCCAAGAATACTTTCTGAGGAGGTCGGAATAACAAATGTAGGATTAAGTAACCGAGAAGCTTGTCTGTGCAATGAAGCAGCACCAGCTCCGTCACACTGACTGTTTTGCTCCACAAATTTAGCACGCAGTAGTAGCAACAATTTTTCTATCGTTCCTGGGCATGCATTAACCAATGCCTCGATCACATCATCAGTTAGTTTAAATGAGAACTTTGAGAACACCTTCCAATTAAGAAGTCGCCAGTTGTTCCTTTTTCCCTCAATTTTGCTGCAACTTGACAGATTATGAAGATCGATATACTTAGGGAAAAAATGCTTGACAACTTCAGCTAGTAAAACGCCATCAGAGAAATCACGAGAAATATTGCGCTTTGGACGGGACAAAGGAATAGAATCAACCCACTTATATAAATCAAGCAGAACATTTTTATCTAGCTCATCTACCATGATCAATAATTTATGGGCCCCAAAGCAACATTTACATAATAATTGTTGATGTCAGATGCTAGGATTCAAATTATGCGTTAGCGTCAACAATAATGGCAACATATTTCAAGGACAATCATCAAGTTCAAAAGATTCAATTACTTAATTTTACATAAATGCCAAATTAAAAGTCTGTATTATAATGAATAATACATTCTTAAATGGCATAGTTAGTTACAAAGGGAGGTGTGGACAAATCAACGAGTTTTGGATGAAGTGAGCTTAAAAAAGCATCAAAAACACTAAGAAATAAAATTTCGAAAAAAATCTGAGTTTACTGTAACTATTTCTGACAAACAAAAATCATGAAGTTGAAATAATTGAGTCAAAACCTGAATCAGTAAAGAGCATAACATTGCCGAAAATAATACGCCTACCAGAGTTTTAAAAAAATTCAACAAGGACTGTACCGAGGATAAAGCGCAAGTCTGTTGATGTTGTTGATTTGTCCATTGTGGTGTTTGTGAGACGTCTACAGGTCGGACATGGGGACGAGGGAGGGAA